GGGACAGTACACCCGGCGGGGACAGTTTTGTAAAAGCGACAACAAAAATATCAATATGGAATGATTATAAACATTTATATAATTATTAGTAATAAAATAAAACACTGCCCGGCGGGGAAACGAACCCCGGTCTACCGCATGACAGGCGGGGATACTGACCACTATACTACCGAGGACATGCTTTTATACAACCGATAACAAAAATGTCAATATGATGAAAGATTTATAAAGATTTATAATTATTAGTAATAAAATGAAGTACTCCCCGGCGGGGAATCAACCCCGGTCTCCCGCGTGACAGGCGGGGATACTGACCACTATACTACCGAGGACATGCTTTTATACAACGATAACAAAAATGTCAATATGATGAATGATTTATAAAGATTTATAATTATTAGTAATAAAATGAAGTACTCCCCGGCAAGGAATCGAACCCCGGTCTCCTGCGTGACAGGCGGGGATACTGACCACTATACTACCGAGGACATGCTTTTATACAACCGATAACAAAAATGTCAATATGATGAATGATTTATAAAGATTATAATTATTAGTAATAAAATAAAAGTACTCCCCGGCGGGGAATCGAACCCCGGTCTCCCGCGTGACAGGCGGGGATACTGACCACTATACTACCGAGGACATGCTCTTATACAAACCGATAACAAAAATGTCAATATGATGAATGATTTATAAAGATTTATAATTATTAGTAATAAAATGAAGTACTCCCGGCGGGGAATCGAACCCGGTCTCCCGCGTGACAGGCGGGGGTATGACCACTATACTACCGAGGACAGCATTTGTACAACCCATCGGGGACAGTACACCCCGGAGGGGACAGTTTTGTAAAAGCGACAACAAAAATATCAATATGAGGAATGATTTATAAACATTTATATAATTATTAGTAATAAAATAAAACACTCCCGGCGGGGAATCGAACCCCGGTCTCCCGCGTGACAGGCGGGGATAATGACCACTATATTACCGAGGACATGCTTTTATACAACCGATACAAAAATGTCAATATGATGAAAGATTTATAAAGATTTATAATTATTAGTAATAAAATGAAGTACTCCCCGGCGGGGAATCGAACTACTTGCGTCCAACCGTTTTTCTGTTTTGTTTGTGCGGAAAATTGAGTTCGAAACTATTATCGTTAATCATTTATTTATTTATTTAATATGATGAATGATTTATAAAGATTTATAATTATTAGTAATAAAATGAAGTACTCCCCGGCGGGGAATCAAACCCCGGTTTCCCGCGTGAGAGGCGGGGATACTGACCACTATACTACCGAGGACATGCTTTTATACAACCGATAACAAAAATGTCAATATAATGAATGATTTATAAAGATTTATAATTATTAGTAATAAAATGAAGTACTCCCCGGCGGGGAATCGAACTACTTGCGTCCAACCGTTTTTCTGTTTTGTTTGTGCGAAAAATTGAGTTCGAAACTATTATCGTTAATCATTTATTTATTTATTTAATATGATGAATGATTTATAAAGATTTATAATTATTAGTAATAAAATGAAGTACTCCCCGGCGGGGAATCGAACCCCGGTCTCCCGCGTGACAGGCGGGGATACTGACCACTATACTACCGAGGACATGCTTTTATACAACCGATAACAAAAATGTCAAATATAATGAATGATTTATAAAGATTATAATTATTAGTAATAAAATGAAGTACTCCCCGGCGGGGAATCGAACCCCGGTCTCCAGCGTGACAGGCGGGGATACTGACCACTATACTACCGAGGACATGTTTATACAACCGATAACAAAAATGTCAATATGATGAAAGATTTATAAAGATTTATAATTATTAGTAATAAAATGAAGTACTCCCCGGCGGGGAATCGAACTACTTGCGTCCAACCGTTTTTCTGTTTTGTTTGTGCGGAAAATTGAGTTCGAAACTATTATCGTTAATCATTTATTTTTATACAATTTATTTATGTACAAGCCATCGGGGACAGTACACCCCGGCGGGGACAGTTTTGTAAAAGCGACAACAAAAATATCAATTATTAGTAATAAAATAAAACACTCCCCGGCGGGGAATCGAACCCCGGTCTCCCGCGTGACAGGCGGGGATACTGACCACTATACTACCGAGGACATGCTTTTATACAACCGATAACAAAACTGTCAATATGATGAAAGATTTATAAAGATTTATAATTATTAGTAATAAAATGAAGTACTCCCCGGCGGGGAATCGAATCCCGGTCTCCCGCGCGACAGGCGGGGATACTGACCACTATACTACCGAAGACATGCTTTTATACAACCGATAACAAAAATGTCAATATGATGAATGATTTATAAAGATTTATAATTATTAGTAATATAATGAAGTACACCCCGGCGGGGAATCGAACCCCGGTCTCCCGCGTGACAGGCGGGGTACTGACCACTATACTACCGAGGACATGCTTTTATACAACCGATAACAAAAATGTCCATATGATGAATGATTTATAAAGATTTATAATTATTAGTAATAAAATGAAGTACTCCCCGGCGGGGAATCAAACCCCGGTCTCCCGCGTGACAGGCGGGGATACTGACCACATTACTACCGAAGGACATGCTCTTTATACAACCGAAACAAAAATGTAATATGATGAATGATTTATAAAGATTTATAATTATTAGTAATAAAATGAAGTACACCCCGGCGGGGAATCGAACCCCGGTCTCCCGCGTGACAGGCGGGGGGTACTGACCACTATACTACCGAGGACATGCTTCTATACAACCGATAACAAAAATGTCAATATGATGAATGATTTATAAAGATTTTAATTATTAGTAATAAATGAAGTACTCCCCGGCGGGGAATCAAACCCCGGTCTCCCCGTGGGACGACGGGGATACTGACCCTATATACCGAGGACAGCATTTGTACAAGCCATCGGGGACAGTACACCCGGCGGGGACAGTTTTGTAAAAGCGACAACAAAAATGTCAATATGATGAAAGATTTATAAAGATTTATAATTATTAGTAATAAAATGAAGTACTCCCCGGCGGGGAATCGAACCCCGGTCTCCCGCGTGACAGGCGGGGATACTGACCACTATACTACCGAGGACATGCTTTATACAACGATAACAAAAATGTCAATGATGAATGATTTATAATTATTAGTAATAAAAAAGTACTCCCCGGCGGGGAATCGAACCCGGTCTCCCGCGTGACAGGCGGGGGAACTGACCACTATACTACCGAGGACATGCTTTATACAACCGATAACAAAAATGTCAATATGAGGAATGATTTATAAAGATTTATAATTATTAGTAATAAAAATAAGTACTCCCCGGCGGGGAATCGAACCCCGGTCTCCCGCGTGACAGGCGGGGATACTGACCACTATACTACCGAGGACATGCTCTTATACAACCGATAACAAAAATGTCAATATGATGAATGATTTATAAAGATTTATAATTATTAGTAATAAAATGAAGTACTCCCCGGCGGGGAATCGAACCCCGGTCTCCGCGTGACAGGCGGGGATACTGACCACTATACTACCGAGGACATGCTTTTATACAACCGATAACAAAAATGTCATATGATGAATGATTTATAAAGATTTATAATTATTAGTAATAAAATGAAGTACACCCCGGCGGGGAATCGAACCCCGGTCTCCCGCGTGACAGGCGGGGTACTGACCACTATACTACCGAGGACATGCTTCTATACAACCGATAACAAAAATGTCAATATGATGAATGATTTATAAAGATTTTTAATTATTAGTAATAAAATGAAGTACTCCCCGGCGGGGAATCAAACCCCGGTCTCCCGCGTGACAGACGGGGATACTGACCACTATACTACCGAGGACAGCATTTGTACAAGCCATCGGGGACAGTACACCCCGGCGGGGACAGTTTTGTAAAAGCGACAACAAAGATGTCAATATGATGAAAAATTTATAAAGATTTATAATTATTAGTAATAAAATGAAGTACTCCCGGCGGGGAATCGAACCCCGGTCTCCCGCGTGACAGGCGGGGATACTGACCACTATACTACCGAGGACATGCTTTTATACAACGATAACAAAAATGTCAATATGATGAATGATTTATAAAGATTTATAATTATTAGTAATAAAATGAAGTACTCCCCGGCAAGGAATCGAACCCCGGTCTCCCGCGTGACAGGCGGGGATACTGACCACTATACTACCGAGGACATGCTTTTATACAACCGATAACAAAAATGTCAATATGATGAATGATTTATAAAGATTTATAATTATTAGTAATAAAATGAAGTACTCCCCGGCGGGGAATCGAACCCCGGTCTCCCGCGTGACAGGCGGGATACTGACCACTATACTACCGAGGACATGCTCTTATACAACCGATAACAAAAATGTCAATATGATGAATGATTTATAAAGATTTATAATTATTAGTAATAAATAAAGTACTCCCCCGGCGGGGAATCGAAACCCCGGTCTCCCGCGTGACAGGCGGGGATACTGACCACTACTACCGAGGACATGCTTTTATACAACCGATAACAAAAATGTCCATATGATGAATGATTTATAAAGATTTATAATTATTAGTAATAAAATGAGTACACCCGGCGGGGAATCGAACCCCGGTCTCCCGCGTGACAGCGGGGATACTGACCACTATAACTACCGAGGACATGCGTTTATACAAACGATAACAAAAATGTCAATATGATGAATGATTTATAAAGATTTATAATTATTAGTAATAAAATAAAGTACTCCCCGGCGGGGAATCGAACCCCGGTCTCCCGCGGACAGGCGGGGATACTGACCACTATACTACCGAGGACATGCTCTTATAAACCGATAACAAAAATGTCAATATGATGAATGATTTATAAAGATTTATAATTATTAGTAATAAAATGAAGTACACCCGGCGGGGAATCGAACCCGGTCTCCCGCGTGAGGCGGTACTGACCACTATACTACCGAGGACATGCTTTTATACAACCGATAACAAAAATGTCAATATGATGAATGATTTATAAAGATTTATAATTATTAGTATAAAATGAAGACTCCCCGGCGGGGAATCAAACCCCGGTCTCCCGCGTGACAGGCGGGGATACTGACACTATACTACCGAGGACAGCATTTGTACAAGCCATCGGGGACAGTACACCCCGGCGGGGACAGTTTTGTAAAAGCGACAACAAAAATATCAATATGAGAATGATTTATAAACATTTATATAATTATTAGTAATAAAATAAAACACTCCCCGGCGGGGAATCGAACCCCGGTCTCCCGCGTGACAGGCGGGATACTGACCACTATACTACCGAGGACATGCTTTTATACAACCGATAACAAAAATGTCAATATGATGAAAGATTTATAAAGATTTATAATTATTAGTAATAAAATGAAGTACTCCCCGGCGGGGAATCGAACTACTTGCGTCCAACCGTTTTTCTGTTTTGTTTGTGCGGAAAATTGAGTTCGAAACTATTATCGTTAATCATTTATTTATTTATTTAATATGACGAATGATTTATAAAAATTTATAATTATTAGTAATAAAATGAAGTACTCCCCGGCGGGGAATCGAACCCCGGTCTCCCGCGTGACAGGCGGGGATACTGACCACTATACTACCGAGGACATGCTTTTATACAACCGATAACAAAAATGTCAATATGATGAAAGATTTATAAAGATTTATAATTATTAGTAATAAAATGAAGTACTCCCCGGCGGGGAATCGAACTACTTGCGTCCAACCGTTTTTCTGTTTTGTTTGTGCGGAAAATTGAGTTCGAAACTATTATCGTTAATCATTTATTTTTATACAATTTATTTATGTACAAGCCATCGGGGACAGTACACCCCGGCGGGGACAGTTTTGTAAAAGCGACAACAAAAATATCAATATGAGGAATGATTTATAAACATTTATATAATTATTAGTAATAAAATAAAACACTCCCCGGCGGGGAATCGAACCCCGGTCTCCCGCGTGACAGGCGGGGATACTGACCACTATACTACCGAGGACATGCTTTTATACAACCGATAACAAAAATGTCAATATGATGAATGATTTATAAAGATTTATAATTATTAGTAATAAAATGAAGTACTCCCCGGCGGGGAATCGAACCCCGGTCTCCCGCGTGACAGGCGGGGATACTGACCACTATACTACCGAGGACATGCTTTTATACAACCGATAACAAAAATGTCAATATGATGAATGATTTATAAAGATTTATAATTATTAGTAATAAAATGAAGTACTCCCCGGCGGGGAATCGAACCCCGGTCTCCCGCGTGACAGGCGGGGATACTGACCACTATACTACCGAGGACATGCTTTTATACAACCGATAACAAAAATGTCAATATGATGAATGATTTATAAAGATTTATAATTATTAGTAATAAAATAAAGTACTCCCCGGCGGGGAATCGAACCCCGGTCTCCCGCGTGACAGGCGGGGATACTGACCACTATACTACCGAGGACATGCTCTTATACAACCGATAACAAAAATGTCAATATGATGAATGATTTATAAAGATTTATAATTATTAGTAATATAATGAAGTACACCCCGGCGGGGAATCGAACCCCGGTCTCCCGCGTGACAGGCGGGGTACTGACCACTATACTACCGAGGACATGCTTTTATACAACCGATAACAAAAATGTCAATATGATGAATGATTTATAAAGATTTATAATTATTAGTAATAAAATGAAGTACACCCCGGCGGGGAATCGAACCCCGGTCTCCCGCGTGACAGGCGGGGATACTGACCACTATACTACCGAGGACATGCTTCTATACAACCGATAACAAAAATGTCAATATGATGAATGATTTATAAAGATTTTTAATTATTAGTAATAAAATGAAGTACTCCCCGGCGGGGAATCGAACCCCGGTCTCCCGCGTGACAGGCGGGATACTGACCACTATACTACCGAGGACAGCATTTATACAACCCATCGGACAGTACACCCCGGCGGGGACATTTTTGTAAAAGCGACAACAAAAATATCAATATGAGATGATTTATAAACATTTATATAATTATTAGTATAAAATAAAACCCCCCGCGGGGAATCGAACCCCGTCTCCCGCGTGACAGGCGGGGATACTGACCACTATACTACCGAGGACATGCTTTTATACAACCGATAACAAAATGTCAATATGATGAATGATTTATAAAGATTTATAATTATTAGTAATAAAATGAAGTACTCCCCGGCGGGGAATCGAACCCCGGTCTCCCGCGTGACAGGCGGGGATACTGACCACTATACTACCGAGGACATGCTTTTATACAACCGATAACAAAAATGTCAATTGATGAATGATTTATAAAGATTTATAATTATTAGTAATAAAATGAAGTACTCCCCGGCGGGAATCGAACCCCGGTCTCCCCGTGACAGGCGGGGTACTGACCACTATACTACCGAGGACATGCTTTTATACAACCGATAACAAAAATGTCAATATGATGAATGATTTATAAAGATTTATAATTATTAGTAATAAAATGAAGTACTCCCCGGCGGGGAATCAAACCCCGGTCTCCCGCGTGACAGGCGGGGATACTGACCACTATACTACCGAGGACAGCATTTGTACAACCATCGGGGACAGTACACCCCGGCGGGGACAGTTTTGTAAAAGCGACAACAAAATATCAATATGAGGAATGATTTATAAACATTT